ATAATAAATAATAAATAATAAATAATAAATAATAAATAATAAATAATAAATAAATGAAATGAATGCAGAAGCAAAAACAATAAATAATTATAAAAAAAATAAAATGGTGAAATTAAATTATATAAGTATATAAGTGTTAAATAAGATTAATATTATTATGTAAATATTATTATTACTCAAATATTAAACATTCTTAATAACATAGAAATAATAGTATTAAATAATAAAAAACAATACTAGTGTATAAAATTTTTTTTGTAAATATTAGTAGTAGGGAAAATTGAAGATTTATAGTAATAAAAGGAGTTAATAATATAAAATAAATGATAAAGATATATGTATATTTAGCAGTAATAAATTTAGACTTACTATTATAATTATTATACTCTTTCAATAATAGCAACAATAGTATAATAATATATAACAATAATATTGATAAGTAATACAATAAGTATTAGTAGATATACTATTAAAATAATTAAAGCAGCAGTAATAGTTATTTAGTATTTGCAATGCACACAAAATCTCAATTCTATATACATATAAATATTTATACATTTTGTGTATTTTGGGGTTCAGTGTTATCAATTCAGGTTTTGATTATTGAGGTCGAGCCTAATCATAATAAAAGCTTGTAAAGCTTTTTACCCACATAGACACAACGATCTACAGTTTAAGAGCTGCTGACCCACAGTGAATAGGCGATAAACACTTTGTCTCTGACAATTTTGACCTCAATACATACTTCCGTATTTGTCGTTCATACATTTTCTTAGATTTAATTTAATTTTATTTATTTATTCATTTATTTTTTTGTATTGCCAAAATTTAGTTAAATGGATAGGATATTAGGATATTAAAAATGAATATGAAATAGTCAGGTTATTATTTAATACACGTACCATAGTATTCATGTTTAAATGAGCATTTATATTTATACTGTGGCATAAAAAAACAACTTAAAATAGAAAATGCATACTCTTTTATTTATATATTTATAACTACAGAAATATACATACTGCTAGCATATTTTCAAATATTTGCATGAATAATTTATAGCTGAAAAATTGTCATTTACGCTTCATTGGCGCTCCTCAAAGTCCAGCCAAATGCCGCCTTTCAGGGTCGTCACAAAGGCCAAGGGCTCATATAGGATATCCTTGCGGGTTTTGGGATTCAGACGAATATTGAACTTGGTCAACACCTCGATGATGGCCGCCTTAATCTGTATCAAGGCAAAGCGCATGCCTGCAAGCAAAAAATTAAATAAATTGTATAAGCCTTACTCAAATGGTCTGCTCTCCAATGCTCTACCTATGCAAATGCGCGGACCATCACCAAAGCCATTGAAGACGCCTTGCTCTCGAAACATCTTAACAGCATCGGGTTGCATGAATCGTTCCGGGTTGAAGGCCTGCGGATCGGGGAAATATTCCTCATCCAGCATGAAGCAGCAATGGGGCACAATGACCGTGGTGCCCCGTTCCACAACGAAACTCTCGCCCTTCTTGTTGGGCAACTCGATGGGCTCAGTGCACAGTTTACGGGCAACAAATAGGGGAAAGAGGCGCAAGGTTTCTGTGGTATCGAGGAAATCAGATATAATTTCAAGGCTTACATTGAGCGTTGACTCACCATGAATACATGCATCCAGAAAGGGCAACTCATTGAGCCTCTCAAACTCAATGATGCCCTTGTCACTGAGATGGGCCTCGATCTCTTCGCGCAGTCGCTGCTGCACCTGCTCATCTCTGCCCAGCAGCAAGAGCACCTGACTGAGAACTGTGGCCGTCGTCTCGAATCCGTCCAGCAGGAAGGTCATTATGTGTGCGGTCAATTGGCGAGTATCCAGGTTCTTCTTGCTGCCCAGCTGGAGTATATAGTCCAGGAAGTCGCCGCGGTCGAATTGTTTTCCAACTGCCAGTTGTTGTTGTCGCGCATCGATTGCAGTTTGCATCAGATTCACAAAGTAGTGCTCCATTGGCAAGGGAATAAGGCGCATTTTATAGAATAGCCTTATGCTGGGCAAAAAGTTGGCTATCATAAGGTATATGATGGAAGGCCAAGGCATGTGAAGGATTGCCTTGATGTAGCCCATAATTGGTGATGGCTCATCTGTGAAGCTCTCGGCCTTCAGGCCCAGCACGCAATCGGTGACCATTTCGGTTGTGAAG